CTTTCGTGTAAAGTCGGGCACCACTCGGGAGAATTCGGTAATACAGCGGTTGGAACAGCCGCTTCTCTACGACTTTAAGGTTTATTCATAACATGTTGATCCAGCAATTTTACTGTTTAACCAAAGTGTCTGTAATTTCTTTTGACTCGGACTACTTTCCATTATTCTAAGTAAGGGGGGACGAATGCTGTCCAGATCAGAACAGGGCTGACTGAGTGAAATCCATCGATCTCCGTTTATTTAACTGGAGTGAATAGTTGAATACTTTTTCCCACGACAGAAGTCCTCAAAGTTTTAGTTTTCTGGAACATTGATGAACAATCAGCATCATGAAGACCAAAGAGCACAGCAGACACGTCAGGAAGAACGTTTAAAGCAGGGGTTACAGGTTCTGTAATAATGACTCCAGCCTAAACAGATTAATCCGTAATGACACCGAAACTGTAGGTGTATCAGAGGTCACTATAAGTGCTTTAAATAGTAAAGGCAGTAGGAAAAGAGGTAGTTTCCTTAACATAGCAACCTCCTGATTGTTCCATATGTCACTACCCGATCTGTCCTGCCATGCGCCATCAGCTAATTTGCGCATCCAGATTTGCATCCTGGCCACCCTCAATTTTATTTTGTAAAAAATTAAGTTTTTCCCTCCCTCCCCAAAAATATTAAACATACTAAAATATAATGTGTTAAAGGTTAATACTTTATTTCCTGAGAAAATAAATGCCTTAAAGTCCTTTCTGTTTTATCACTCCTCTCTGACCGATCTGACCGTAATGGGATCCTAGGTTACTTCCTTTGGATAACTTTTTCGGCTTTGGATATAAACATAAATCTAGTGTTTTTGAGTTTTATGTTTTCCTTTTGTGTTAACATTATAGTATATAGTGTGTAATCCAAAGAAAGAACCAAATAAAAAACAGATAAATATTGTTTAATCAGATTTTGCCGGACTGCTCTGAGTATGTCCCATGATGAGGTCAGAGAAGCAGTTTAACGAAGAAAATGTAAAAATCATAAAAATTGTCTCAAAAGACAAAACATTTTTTAAAGATGTGTAATAGCATTCTTTAGAGAGTTAAGGATATAAATAAGTAATTTTAGTACCATAATTACATTATTTATGGACACCAAGATTGCATATCTGTTTGCGCATGCCGGGACGGATCAGGTAGTGACACTGTTTGCCACATAGGAGCTATACAGATTCCCAGAGTCCTTTGCATGACAGGATGTACAGGCACAGCCCTCCTGTTCTCTCTGTTTGAAACATTTTGTATTTGGTTTTAGTCTCATTGTTATGTTTGCATGACCTTTCCATTTAGCTTTGAAATCATGTATTTACATGGCGTTTGCTCCCCTAGAAACATTACATAGCATTTTTTTCTCTTATTTTAAAAAAGGGAAAGATTTTGGCACAAATGCATATCAACACCAATATTGACTAAAATAGCATAAAAGAAGAGAATTTCAGGTCCATGCTAGCTCTGGAGAGGCAAGAAGAAATGTATTATTAAAAGAAAACAAGGATGTCCAGCTCTTAGTTTGCACTAAACATGTCCCCTTTCGTACATCAACAATAACGTGGAACAGAAGTGCTTAAAGGAACCAAGATATAAAAGAAATAGAATAGTGCCTAGATTTGAAACCAAATAAGGCATTTTATAACTAAATCTTAGATGGCTGGGTAGTGAAAACAAAACAAGCATAATGTGTCCCCTTCTGGGAGGTTGAGCTGCAGCATTTAGAACAACAAACACATGGAAGATGGTCAGAATGTTTGGCAGATGGAGGAAGCTAGACTCAGGAAAATGCTTGAAGAAAACCTGTTAGAGGCTGTAAGAACCTGAGGTCCATTGTTTAGCAGATTGATGATCCAATTTTAACTGCAGTTTCTCTTTTTTTCCTTTTTATGTTTACAATCATGATCCTAAACATAAAGAAGGAGCAGGGGGGGATTTACCATTAATACTAGGCAGTTGCCTAGGGCCCCAAAGGTCTTGGGAGTCCCCATAAAACTCTGTTTACATGTATGATTAATACCACTATTCCTTATTTGTGCACGTTTATTATGTTTTTGATCAAAATCCTTTCTCTAAAATGCCATCAGAATGCTATTATATTAAGTTTGTCTCAGTGCCCCCCCTTCAGTGTCCACCATATTGGATCGGTCCATTTGCTGCACATGTTCAGACAGGTCAAAATAGACTGTAGCAAACCATTTGAAAACAATGAGAAGAGCAGTGTTTCAAATTTAGCACTTTTGTTGCTATATTTATTGACTTTTCAGACCCCTGTAGCGCTTTTATTAAAAAAATAATAATAAAATAAAAGCCAAATCTAGCACAGATGGAGACTTTGGAAACACAGGAAGGAGCAATCAGCTAAGTGAGCTTAGTGCTTGGAAAAAATCTTTCATTCCTTCTGAGACAGCCTGAAAAGTCAGCTGAGTACAAAAAAAAATAGAGAGGAAAACAAGAAGAAAAGGGACAAGAAGGGAGGGACAAAACGTATAGCTAATAATGGATTTCTATTCTATATAAAATAAAATTTCTGTGTCTGTATAATGGGTCTGTTTTATGTGTCGTCTTCTCAATTCAGAGGGTCCCCTGCCTGTCTTTGCCTAGGGCCCCAAATTTCCTAAATCCGCCCCTGAGTAGGGGCTACTGCCAAATCAAACCATATTAGAACAGGCATGTGAGGCTCTAAATTTAACTAAGAATCAATATTACTATTATATCAATCAATCAATCAAACATTGTAATTGAAATTTCAGTTTCAGTACCACCGTTCATTAGGGGGGAATGGATTGACTGAGGCCATAGCACAGGACGCTGCCATTCGGCAGAAAGGCACATTCTTATGGCTTCCAACCAGTAACCTGGCTTCCCAGGTCCCAGGCGGTTCCCTTATAGCACTGCCTTTTTATAAGCAACCTTAGTGTGATGAAAAACAGTACAAATAAGACAGAGTACCCAATGATGTGAAGTTAAAATTAAAATTGTTTGGATTTTTCTTTTTTTTGGTAAATTAGTGCAGT